AAGGGAGAGGGAGGTCTAGTTCCAATTGAGTGTGATGGCTGGCTGTCCTTACAAGAAAAGTTAGGGCACAGAGACCCATAGAGGACAGACCACAAGAATCCAAGGAGAGATCAAAATGAAACTTGGCCTTGATTTCCAGACTCCAGAAATTAATAAATAAGTTTGTGTTAGTTAAGCTGCCCTGACTATAGTATTTTTTTTCTGACAGCCCTAGAAGTAGTATACTAAATACATAAACGGTCCAGCAGATCTTCACATGGAGACTTTTTCATCTGAGCCCACAATCTTTCTTCTCTCCAAACTGGACAGTTTCCAGATAGTCTTTTCAGTTAATGCTGCAGAGACCCAGCTCTGGTTATTCATTTCCAAAAGAAACAGTAGTAAGATTCCATTATGACTTCACTGAGACAGGATAGAGGAAGCCTCTCCAGGTGTTCAGGTGTAGTATCAAGCAAAACTCACTCTATGCTGAGCATTTATAGAAATAATCCCAAGGTTCCAAACAGTTTGAGTAGATGAAGTGCCACTGGAAATGAAAAATATTGTAGAAAGCAGAGGAATTACATATATCAAGTTTGCACCCAAGAAAAATAGATCTATCATTAAGACATTCCATAAATAAATTATTTACAAGATTTGAGTCAACTTACCTATAAAAGTCACTGTAGTACTAATTCTAGTACTATATGGCAGCTTTACAAAAAAGTGACCCACTGGTACTTGGCTTTAATTGCTCAATCTTTTTTTAAGGTGGAATATACTTGATTTGAAATAATCATGCCAATACAACTAGAACATTTTCAAAACATTAGTATTATGTTTTACATTGGATTCATTTGAATTTGATTCAATTTTAGATGGGTTAAAAAAAAACAGGCATAGGAAGTGGCGCTGTAGCTCAAGTGGTAGGTAGAGAGCTTGCCTTGAGCTGAAGAGCTCAGGGACAGCGCCCAGGCCCAGAGTTCAAGCCCCATGACTAACAATAAATAAATAAATAAGAAAAGAGTGGCAAATATCAAAACACCTTTTAGGAATATTGACTCATTTTTAATTTGGGGAGAAGTTTAATTGTGGCTACTTCAGAAATCACAGAAAATGAATGCCCAGAGTTTTTTCTAGATCTTTTATGTCTCTGTGGGTTATATTTAACATATAGGGTCACTCATTTTTATGTTTTATTTTTAATATTATGTTCATTTTAACTTCATCATTTTTATTCTTTCTTATTTTTTTCTATAGTCAAAAACTACAGTGGGGGAGAAGTGAAAGAGGTAGAGGGGAGGAGTGAGGGAGGTGGGGGGAGGGATAGTGGGAGAACAACAAGGGAGGGGGTAACAATGCTCGACAAATATGTACTCATTGCCTTACTCATGTAACTGTAACCCCTCTGTACAGCATCTTTACAATTAAATATGTCCAATAAAATATGCATGCTTAATATGTCCTTATATTTGTACATTTATTCTAACATAATAAAACAAATGTTTGCCACAAAGATGCTGATAAAAAATCAGTACCAAAATCTGTGACCATGTATATTTCTTTAAAAAAATATGAATACTAGTCAACAAAGAACTTTCTTTTTTATTTATTTTTTATTGTGAAAATACTGTACAGAGGGGTTACAGTTACATGAGCAAGATAATGAGTACATTTCTTATCAAGCATTGTAGCCTCCTCCTTCAACAAAGAACTTTCTATTGAAATAATATTTGCATTCTTCTTTTCAACCAAGATGAAGAACTAGTTAAGTGTCCAGGATATACTTAATACTGAATGGACATACACATACATGCATACACATACATACATACATACACACCTCATACACATACCTGCCATATACCTACATGTACATACACACTGTAAACACAGTATGTATACACACTACATACACACTGAACACTACATGCAAATATTCATACAACACACATAGACTATACACAGCATATGCTTCACACATACAATCCATACATATACAGCTCAGTTTAAAAGAACTATACTAGAAAGATTTAAACAGCCAGGGATTTGTCACGAAGTCAGACAAGTCAGATGCTTGTCACACACCCATTATTCAGATCTCTACTGAAATTCTAAAGTAGTAATATTTTAACTGAACTCCCTAAATCAGTTTAAACTGAAGTAAGTGGTCAAATATTGTCACTCTAGAAAAAAATTCACTTTGTATTCTCAGCTATTCAGTCTTGAAAAATACACAGAGTTTCTAAAACCTCATTTATCTTAAAGGCTGTGGAAATACTTAGTCTATTATTTAAAAATTAAAGAGATGTCTCTTAACATATACATAAAACATAAAAAGAGCATCTAACTAAAACCAGTAGCTTCAGCAGGACACTGGTGGCTCACTCCCATGATCTAAGCTACTCAGGAGGCTGAGATCTGAGGATCACAGTTTGAAGCAAGCCTGGGTAGAAAAGTCCAGCTAACTAGCAAAAACTGGGAAGTAGAGCTATGGCTCAAGTGGTAGAGAGCCAGCCTTGAGTGAAAAAAGAAAGGAGTACAAGGCCATGAGTTCAAGGTCCAGTACTGGCACACACACATTAAAAAAAAATGGCTTGATTTTTTTTTGGTGGGGGGGGGGGTCCAGTCGTGGGGCCTGAACTCTGGGCCTGGGCACTGTCCCTCAGCATTTCAGCTCAAGGCTAGCACTTTACCACTTGAGCCACAGCACCACTTCCGGCTTTTCTCTTTTTGCTTATGTGGTGCTGAGGAATCGAACCCAGGGCCTCAGGCATGCAAGGCAAGTGCTCTACTACTGAGCCACCTTCGCAGCCCCTTGATTTTTTTTTGAGAATAATTTTTTTATTCTGAAAATACCATACAGAGGGGTTACAATTACATGGCAAAGTAATAAGTGCATTTCTTATCAAGAATTGTTGCCTCCTCCTTTGTTTCCAAATTATATTAAGTGAAGCAAGCCAGGCCTAAAGAAACATAGGTCCCATGGTTTCCCTTATTTGCAATAACTAGTATATGTCTGAGGCAAGCAGAAATGGTCAGATAAGTTTATGTTAAGTGAAATGAATCCCAAGTTAAGGACTGAAATGGTTTTTCTTTTTTGCTATTGTTTCTAACATATTTATAAGATTATTTCTTTGTTGCTTTGTATGTCCCTCCCCATGTATAACCCCTGTTTTCACTGTATTTGATGTTGGCATAATTTGTGGAGGGGAAGGGAAAAAACAAATTGTTTAAATAGGGATACAGGTGGACCCATTGCAACAATGAGATGTACAAATCATTATGTCGACAAATGAACTTTACAACTTTGGCGTGGGGGGTGGGGGAAGATGGGAAGCAATTGTTTGATTTTTAAGAGACTCTAGACTCTGCTTTGAAAAACTCAAAAAGCCAAAACTAATGATCACCTCAATGTAATTTTTGTTTCTTTGTACTCTACCACTAAGTTACACCTTCAGCCCAACATAAACACTTTTAAGGAAACATGTTTTTAGCTGTTCCTCACAAAATTAATCTGGGCTTTTTTGTAACACATTAATAATGAATGTTTAAAGAGCACAAACAAGCCCGTCCATGCGGGCTCTTGAGGACATAGCTTAGTGTCTTGCTAGCTGGAAGGCTGCCATTTTTACTTTGGGGTGCTCAGATGGGCAACCATTTTTATAAATATGACAATATGCCCCTTACCAGTTGGCCCCCTACGAGCTAAAAATTAAGCCCACTATAAAGTTCAAGTGGTAGAGACTAGCCTTGAGCCAAAAGGCTCAAGTACCTAGGCCATGAGCCTGAATTCAAAACCCAAGACTAGCACACACACACACACACACACACACACACACACACACACACACACACACATATTAAGCTCACTAACTGTGCTGGTAGCTCACACTTGTAATCCTAGCTACTTAGAAGGCTGAAATCTAATACTCATGGTTTGAACCCAACCCTGCATTAAAGTCTGTGAGACTTTTTTCTCCAATTAACTACTAAAAAGCCAGAAGTGAAAGTGTGGCTCTGAGTTCAAGGCCTCCCCCATAAATTAAAGTGACTTTCTTTCTCCTGCTCAGACCTTGCCACAGGTTTCCTTCGCCAAAGATCATCTGTCTGTGGAGCCCTTTTTACCAGTTGCATTCCTCTCTACTATCTCAGAAAAGAGAAATGCAGTTTATGTTGCCTTATATTTTTACCAAGAGGCAACAAGCAATCTGGAAAGTAGTGAATAATGAGGAAAGTTTCAAAGGCTCAGGAATCCTACCTAAAATCACTTTAAATCTCTGGTTCTGGAGTTCAGCCAGTTATGATGTCGTGTCTTTGTAGATGGGCTGTTGTTGGTCAAGTGCTCTGTCCAGAGCATCTCATCAGAATCGTAGTCTTACAGAATGTTAAAGATCAATTTTGTTACAGAATTCTGTGCATATGCACAAAGCAGGTGGTGCAGGTAGAAGGAGACAGCTCTTTGGGACCTTTAGAAAGTCTTTGAAAAGTATTTGTCACAAACAGGCAGCCATGACATCTTCATACATTAAAAGGATAACTTTCCTACTGATTTTTGTCAGGATCTGATAAGAATGATTTCATCCTAATACTAGCAACTTTCTGCTGCTTCTGCATCATGTGTGTATGAGAGAAAGAGAGAGAGAGAAAGAGAGACAGAGACAGAGAGACAGAGAAAGAGACAGACAGAGACAGAGAGTCAGAGAGAAACAGAGAGAGAGAGAGAGAGAGAGACGGAGGGAGAGAGAGAGCCAGCGCTTAACCTCAGGGCCTGGGAGCTGGCCCAGAGCTTTTTTGTTCTAAGCTGCTGCTCTATCATTTGAGGTACAGTTCCACTTCCGGATTTTTGTTGGTTAACTTAAAATAAGAGTCTCATAAACTTTCCTGCCCAGACTGGCTTCAAACCTCAATCCTCAGATCTCAGTCTCGTGAGTAGCTAGACTCATATTGTATCAATATATATGAATATATATCAATCTCTTTCTATATCATATATGTAATATATATTCTTTTAACTGTCATAAAATATCGGATCACATTCACAGAAGAAGAAAATGAGTCCCTGTGACCTGGAGCTGCTCTGTTAACTACCTCAACTACCTAACTGCCTTTTCACATGTGTCGTTGCACACCGGCCTTCCAGGCACCAAGCACATGATGAATGATGCTGGTGGTGACAGAAGATCCATAGAGGTGAGTAAGGCAAACAGCCCCTATAAATTCCAAAAGCGAAGCCAGTTGTACAGGGGCCAATGTGTAGAGGCTTGGGCTGGGCAAGAAGAGAAATAGGGTCCAGGTGTGCGCACAGATGTCAGCCTGATTCCCACAGAGCTGGGAGGAGGCTGCCTCCTGTTTACAGGCACAGAACAGAGCTTAATAGGTGGTAGTGCATGCCTCTCTTTGCTCTGCTGCCCATCTCCACGTAGACTCCTGGGCCCTGCTGTTGCATCTTCCTGAGCCTTGGCAGCAGGCTTTCTTCCTAGCTGATGGCTATATGAAAGTTTCCCCCTGGGCATTGGTGGTTCAGGCCTGTAATCCTAGCTATTCAGGAGGCTGATATCTGAGGATCATAATCAAAAGCCAGCCCAGGCAGGACAGTCTAAGAGTCTTATCTCCAATTAACCTCAAAAAAAGCTGGAAGTATAGTTGTGGCTCAAGTGGTAGAGCACTAGCTTTGAGCAAAATAGCTCAGGCACAGCATCCAGGCCTGGCACCAAAAAATAGTTTCCATTTCTGTGCTTGGTAGGTAGTTTTCTCTACTTTGAAAAGAACCTTTAGGGCTGGGAATTTGGCTTAGTAGTAGCATGCTTCCCTAACATGCATGAAGCTCTGGGTTCAATTCCTCAGTACCACATAAACAGAAAAGGCTGGAACTGACACTGGTTCAAGTGGTAGAGTACTAGCCTTGAGCAAAAGAAGCTCAGGGACAGTGCCCAGTCCCTGAGATTAAGTCCCAGGATTGGCAAAAAAATGAAAAGAGCCCTTTATGAAATCTTCCTATAGTGATGATCTGCTGATCCCCACTGATCCCTGACTCTCTTTCTCTCTCTCTTTCCACCGTCCTACTCTTTCTCTCGCTGTCTACCTTTCACGCATACACACACACACATTCACACACACTCACACACATTCACACACACTCACACTCACACACACACACACACATACACACAGCCACAACTGAGATCTGTGATGGAATCCAACCAGGGCTCCCTGTGCAAACCATGTGAACTAAATCTCAGCACTTGATTCATAGATTCCTGACTTCAGAAAATGTGGAAACTGTAAGAAAAGAATGTGAAACAGGAAAACCATAGGACAAATACAATTACTTGTCTATAATGATAATCAAACCTCTACTATTTAAAATGAATGTGGGGAGGGGATTGGAGTACAGCTCAGTGGTAGAGAAGAAGGAATGCTTAATATGAACAAGGCTTTGGATTTGATCCCTAGCACTAAAAACAAATGAATAGATAAACTTCTTTTAATTAACTCTTGAACCATCAGAGGAATGCTTTGACTGGGCTTGCTGACTTTGAGTTTGGGTACTGCATGGGTCACTTTTAGGAAGGAAGTTGCCTCTAGTGTCGAGAAAGGGATGCTCATGGAACAAGGAGAGAGAAGAGTCAAGGATCCAGCTTTTGTTGTTCTTTCCATAGCTCCAACCTTGTTTCTCACCTGTTAGCTCCCCTTCTGAGTTCTTTCTAGAGACACAACTGGCACTGTCCACCCCTCAGCATGCTCCTGCCTCCTTCCCAGCTACTGTCTGTTCTACAAACTCCCATCCAGCAACCTCTGCCCTGTGGGATCACAAATACCTTTTGACAGCACCCATGGCTAACCCTTCTGATAGACAGAAGGCAGACAGCACCCTCCATTCACTTGAGGAGAGACTTCCACCTTTCTTCTATTTTGTTTTTGTATAGAAGAAACTTGAGAGTACCTTCCTGTGACAGCAGGTGATCCACATGGACGCTGTGGTGATCATTATTCCCCCCTCAAAAGCTTTGTGCCTCCATTTCAAACTTCTTTTATTTCCATGAAGAGAGAAAGAACCTGCTGAATTGTGTCTTCAATTCAAATGAAAATATTAGGATTTAATGTGATTCACATGGAGGGGTACGTTGTACACACAAGCTTTTTAAAAATAATTCTCAGGGGTTAAATAATTATCTTTCCTTTTTTGTTTTGTGGAAACAGTTTTTGCATTGAGCCATTCTTCAAGAGAGTGGGAGAAAAGCATCCAGAGAGGAAGCTGTGCTTAGCTGAAGGCTAATGCTCACGATTTGGATGGGATGCACAGAAGAGCCTCTGTTGAGCTGTCACAAAGGAGAACCAAAAGCTGGCAGTGCTGGTAAATAAAACTTTTGTATTTATATCTGAATATGAATAGCACTGCCACTTTCTTCACTAAGGATTTCCCCAGGCCCTGAGCTGTTAGACATTTGAGGAAAGCTATTCACCAAGACGCATGGCTTCACTGACACAATTCTTATTAACTTGCTTGAGTGACAGAAAGCTGGAGTTCCCTAAAAGACACTGAAAATGTACCAAAGACTTATTCATCTTTACCTTTCAAGCCAGTTGAAAATAAAAGCACTGAAACAAACAAGCAACTAAACAAAAAATAATAATAAAACCTTGTTTGTTAACTACTTAACTTTCCTTTGTATGCTTTCTTTTACAAAAGGCCTGAGCATGTTGCATGTAACTGGAGTTTAGATGGGGCTTGGATTAGGTCATCTGTGCTGTGTTCCATCAAGACAGGTGCCTTGGCATTAAGGCTCAATTCTTTCCTGGGGAAATGAAAGAAAAAAAAAGAGTTCTAGACAAAAGCAAGGCATTGAGATGATAGAATTAAAACCACCCTAGAAATAACCAGCTCAGTGGTAACATGCAATGTAATGCTTCATTTTATGTGTCAACTTGACTGGGCCACTAGGTGCCCAGATAGTCATGTTTGTGAATAAAGCTAACCTTTAAATAAATACACTGAATAAAGCATATTGTCCTGCCTAATGAAGGTGGGCTCCAACCAATCAGGTGAATGTCTGACTAGAACAAAAGCTTGACCATCCCCCTAGTAAGACAGAACATTGCTTCTTATAGGCTCTACAATAGTGTCTAGCCTTTGGAGTCAAACTGAGATGTTGACTCCAGAATTTTGTCCTTGTCAGCCTCCATGGTGACATAAGCCAATTCCTTATCCTGAATATATTTGCCTGTATCTGCACATCCTATGGGTTCTTCTGTGGTTGGTAGTATTGTCCACCTCTCATCTTTGCATATTGACAATGAGCTTTCTCACACATAAGCAGTGTGTTTGAGAACATTGTAGTTACCAAGGAAGTTTTACAAAGTGCACCTATTTCAATCTCTGGAATATACCCAAACATTAGAGGTTGAGAACCCTGAGTTGCAAAGCTTCATGGGATGATATAACCTAGGGACTCTTCATGGGATGACATAAAGTGAAGAGACTTACTCTTCCAGGATGCCTGGACCCCAGGAGGACCTTCTCCTTCATTTAACCCAGATAGATTAGACCCTTGTTTGAGGCTGACCCTGCCCTAGGGTCTGGGTTTGCACCATAAGGGAGGATGGCAGGATGTGGAGAAAAATGTGTCAGATGGTGAACATTGAGAAATATTGAAGATATGATGACATCAAGCCATTTATAAGAAGAAGTGAGAGCCAGTGAGACAAAAATGTAGAAGGAAACAGAGGAAAGAACAGGTACTTGCCTTGGGGTGAGAATGAATGATAGACAGCCAAGGAATATGGAGCAGACATTGAAAGCTAAAGTAGAGGCAGAAGCTCTGCAGGCAGCCATAGGGTCAGCCTGAGATGACCTGGTCACAGAGGTCAATTACAGATGACCTCTGGGTCATCACACGTGCTCTGGATTGTCTCTAAGTAAGAACAGAAAGCCTCTGGAGAGTTTTCAGCAAAAGTCACTATTCTATGTTTTAAGTCACCCAGGTTCCTGATAAATATTAATCTAAAAAGAGAAGTGGCAGAAATAATTATATTGCTTATTGTACTAGCATATGGCATGTTGTTATTAATATTGTAAGGAATGCTGTTCTCATTAACTGACATGTTGAAGTAAAACCCCTTTGTACAACTACAAAGATATTTTTTAATTATACATAATAAGTAAAATAGCTGGGTGCCCGTGGCTCCCACATATAATCCTAGCTTCTCAGGAGGTTGAAATCTGAGGATTGTGGTTCAAAGCCAGCCTGGGCAATGAAGTCTGGAAGACTCTTCTCTCTAAAAAGGCAGAAGTGGAGCTGTCACTCAAATGATAGAGAGCCAGGCTTGAATGAAAATGCTAAGAGACAGTGCTCAGGTGCTGAATTCAAACATAAATTAATAAATAAATAGAAATTTTAAATATTACAACGAAGATATACTTTTGACATATAGATGACTAACTGGAATGGAAAAGCCTAAGCCAGGGCTCTCCATGGAAGACATGGAAATACCCTAAGGCCCTGTTAAAACACCAATTTCTGAGCTCAGGGCAGGAATCATTATAGTCCTGCTAGTCAGACAGGATGATTGCTTGTGCCTAGGAGATTGAGAGGCCAGATTGGGCATACAGAGAAACATGTCTCAAAACACTCAAGAATCTCCATCAGCAACCCGAGCCCTGCCTACAGGGTTTCTAATCCAGTCTAGAGTGGAGCCTGGAATGAGAATTTGACAACTCTGAGAGGCTACTAATGGCCTATGACCACAAGGTAGTATTAGCTAGATGACATTAATCTCTATGTTATAGTTTCTTAGCATCACTCATAGGAACAGAAAGATACAGGTGGCAGGGTGGGGGAGGGGGAAGAAAGAGAGAGAAGGGGAGAGAGAGAAAGAGGGAGGGAGGGAGGGAAAAACTGAGATCTCTAGAACCTGAAATCTATAAAAAGCAAGAAAGCTGGTTTAGCTGACAGTAGAGAGGAAGTGGTTGAAATGTGAGCAGTGTTAAGTAAATATTTGATCTTATGTAAACAATAGTTACTGGCAGATAAATGTTAACTTGTATTTTGATAGTGCTTTGCAATTCAGAATGATCCATGATCTCATTTGGTTCTTACAGCATTGAGCAGATGAGGAGATAGCGTAGAGAGGTAAACTAGTGTCCCAAAGTAGATTGTAGAGAGTTGATGTACACCTGGATCCAGGGCCAGCTGCTGCCTTTCACAAACAAGGGTGTTTTCCACCAGCCATTTCAGCCCCTCAACAATGAAGACTGAGCTCACATTTTAGCCTAGAAAAGTAAAGACCACCTGAAATTATTGACAGAAGTAATGAATTAAAATTCCATTCTTCTTTTTTTCCTTTCTTTTTTTTTTTTTGGTCGGTTGTGGGGCTTGAACTCTGGGCCTGGGCACTGTCCCTCAGCTCTTCAGCTGAAGGTGAGCACTCTACCTCTTAAGCCACAGCCCCACTTCCAGTTTTCTGGTGGTTAATTGGAGATAAGAGTCTCATGGACTTTCCTTCCCAGACTGGCTCTGAACCGAGATCCTCAGATCTCAGCCTCCTGAGTAGCTAGGATTACAGACATGACCCACTGGCATCCAGCTAAAATTCCATTTATATTTATATTTCCAACAACTAATAACCCTTAAAAATATCTCTTAATGATGCATTTTCTTTTTTATTTCTATTGAAACAAAGTGATTGCAAGACCATGGATGACTGGTAAACAAAGTAAAACAAAAGGCATTGTAACTGCTTAGAATATCATCAATGTTCAGGCAAATGAATTCCTATTTTTCAGAGTTGACTCTTCAAGATATACATATAAACACTAAAACATCTCCAGGAACAGGGGATGTAGAACCTGGTTGAAATGAGATGTATTTACTACAAGAATAAATAAGCCAGGTATGGTAGTTCACACCTGTAATCCCAGCACTGGGAAAGCTGAGGCAGGAAGATCATGAGTCTCGGGCCAGCCTGGGCAAGTCTTAGCCAGAAGGGAACCCTACTGCATTGTGGGTGGGAGTGTAAACTTGGCCAACCACTTTGGAAAGTAGTATGGAGGTTCCTCAGAAGACTCCACATAGAGCTCCCCTATGACCCAGCAATCCCACTTTTGGGCATTTACCCAAATAATCACAAACAAGACCATACTAAAGCTACCAGCACAACTATGTTTATCAGAGCATTATTTACCATAGCTAAGATATGGAACCAACCCAGATGCCCCTCAGTAGATGAATGGATCAAGAAAATGTGGCATACACACACACACACACACACACACACACACACACACACATTCAATGGAATTCTATGCCTCCATAAGAAAGAATGACGTCGCCCTATTTGTTAGGAAATGGAAAGACTTGGAAAAAATTATATTAAGTGAAGTAAGCCAGGCCCAAAGAAACATAGGTCCCATGGTTTCCCTTTTTTGCAATAACTAGCATATGTCTGGGACAACCAGAAAAGGTCAGATAAGATGAAGTTAAGGGAAATTAACCCCAAGATAGGAACACAAGTGGGTTTTTTTTCTTGCTATTGTTTCTAATGTATTTATAAGGTACCATGTGATTTTTTTTGTTGCTTTATATGTCCCTCCCCCACGGTATAACTCCTGTTTTCACTGTATTTTATGTTGGTATAATTTGTGGAGGGGAAGGGAAAAAACAAATGGTTTAAATAGGGATACAGGTTGACTCATTGCAACAATGGGATGTATAAGACGCTATGTCGAAAAACAAACTTTATAATTTAGGGTGAGGGTGGGGTGCTGAGGGGAGCAGGGAATGTAGTTGAGGAGGTGGGAGGGAAGGGATGGTAGGGGAAAATCAAAGGAGGAGGCAACAATGCTTGATAAGAAATGTACTCATTACCTTGCTCATGTAACTAACCCCTCTGTACAGTATTTTTACAATAAAAAACTTATTTAAAACAAAAACAGCCAGTCTTAGGACAAAGGGGAGAAAAAAAGAAAAGGGGAAAAAAGGGAAGTATAAAACAAACAAAACCAAAAAGAGTACTTTATGATTTGAAAAACACTTTTACTCTTCTTTTCCAACTTTCTGTCACTGCAAGCTTGTAAAAAAAGAGTATCTAGTGGTTTTATAGACATTGTTGTACAGATGAGAATGCTGAGCTCGGGAGCTCTGGCAGCCTGTCCTGGTCACACAAGAGCCATCTGTTGTCAGATATTCGCGATTGTGCAGCAGATTCAGTAAAACTACTTGGCATTGCTTAAGATATTGATGAAATGAAAATAATTTCCAGTAGAAAACAAATTTCCCTGAATGTGTGTGTTAGGATTCTCCAGTTATAAACAATAGACCAAGCTTTATCGGGTAGTTGACAGCATTTAAGAGAACCTGCAGAACTACACTTTGGTGAGACTGGACCCAAAGGCAGCTCTGAAACAGTAACAGTCATGAGAAGACACTGCACCTCTGACCTAAGTAGATCACAATGGCTTGTGCAGGAAAGAGCCTCGGTTTGCAGCTCTAACAAGACTGAGATGGTGGAGGGTAGTTAAATCTCAAAACAAAATGGAGATGATATAACCAGAAGGTGAAGTAGACATTGGGCCAACAAAATGACACTTATTCCTGGGTCACAAACCTGGCTGTTCTTGGAATGCTAACTGCAAAGTAGCCCCAGCTTATCTGTGCAATTTCCCTATGCACCTTACTCTTTAAAAGTGGGAAAATATGATTTCATAAATGTAGAGCTGGGTAAAATCCTGAATAAGTTGAAATCTCTAAGCCAACAGGAATAACTGTTTTATAATTGTTGCAGTTTTCTTCCAGAGAATATGGCTATCACAGCTGAATAGATCATCAGAGGCTCTGCAATTAATGGTCTGAATTAGGTT